AATCCACTGATGGAGAAATGCACTTACTTGGCACAGTACCAATTAATCTAGTAGATAAGTGGAATAAACCAGCTGCGAGTGGTGCTATAGAGGCTGTTTATGCTGGAAATCGTGGAAGCTGGGAGCTGGTAGCGGCTGTGATCCCGGAGATTGGTTGGAAAGCCAAATAAAAAGGTCTCCAAAAGCGTCAACGTCGCGTTGCAAAAGCGAATCGAACAGCGTATGAACCAACAATTATTCAGGCGGAAAATGCAGGCTACATCATCTAGAGGACCGAAAAGCTGTAGCTTACTACACTCCCGTCAACCTCACCTGAAGCTGTTTGTTTCTGTCACGGTACTTACCTTATCCAAAGGTGGACAGAGGATCGCATGCTACATCGCGAAATTTTAATGGCTCCGACAGTAATTTCAGCCTACAATCTTTGCATGAATCCTGTTGATCGCGTAGATCAACTACGCAGTACCAACCCCACTCGGAGACGTGAAAAACGTCTGGGCATGACTATATTTACATGGATGATGAACCTTGCGATAATAAACGCTCACACGCTGCTAACGACAGTACGACCTACAGCGACGCATGGGTTAGCATTGCGCGAACTCAAACGCCGAGTTGCTGAGGTCCTTACCAGCAGCGAGCGTCAAAATAAAATCAGACGTACCTCGCAGAAAACAAAGCGTTCTCGAGAAACACTGGCCTAAATTGTGGAAATTGATTCCTCCATTCAGATGATCACTCCAAATTCTACTGCTCACAGCAGCGGAAAACTGCTTTGTCATCTCTGCAGCCTGCGCGACATAAAAATCGTCGAGATACGGATGTACAGAATGTGAGCTTGGCTTTCATGCCGAGTGCTTCATGCTTTTCTCAACCAAGCGGTGCTTTAATACTCACCTCAATTGAGAGACACGCTGGAAGTACTTTGCCGAACGTCGACAGAGGAACCAGAGATCTTCACACGAAAAAAAGCGTAGCAGAACTATCACACCAGTTGAGCAACTTATTCTCCCAAAGCGCTAATTGAATAGACAGACTTACGTTTCGCTGAGGGCCTGGTCAGTATTGCTTTAGCTCCTTTGCAGCACACTTAGGTACAGTGACGCATAGACTACCCGTAGGACGAGAATCAGAGAAGCGACCGCAGGAGACGCGGCAGTAGATATAATAGATCCGTCCTAAAGTTTGTCGCAAGACTCGATTCTGGTGCTTCCTTCCCCGAATTTTTGCTTTATAATCCCTGCCGTCAGCCAAGGCTCCTCTTCGTAAAGTCCCCACTCGCTAGGGGCGATTCCACACCAGCAGCAGAGCGTGTCTGCTGTGGGGTTCATGAGACCCTTTGTAACACCACCAGACGTTCTGAGAATGACCACACAAAATTATGGAGGGTTGACAATGTCCCAGATTGGCTGTTATGCCTTTAAAAACTTGAACGAAAGAAATCTGATTTGGCCAGATAGAGGTCCAAGCAGACCTGTAAACCCTGTGTGGTAGTTAAAATGTTTAGGACCCATGTTGTCACTCGTCCATTAAACACATAGATATTAGGCATCTATATGCCCGGGTCAAATGTGAAGAAAGGAGTATCAGTGTTTCATACTGTAGCACAGGTGATGTGATGACTGATGCATTAACTAAACCGCTAAACCAAGGACAGTAAAAGAATTCTCGCTTTTACCGCAGCTGAAAAGTTATACAAGGGTTAAAGACTAGACGCCCATGAGTAGCCGGATAACCAAACTTTCTCCTTGCAGTGCCACCAATGAGCGGTTGGCGATCCATTAGCGCGCAAAAGGCTTTGCCACGGAAGGACACTGTGGCTTAGGCTGGATCACGGTAGCCAGGAAGGGTGCAAGCAGCTTGTGAAAGCCCCCCCCCCCCCGGAGGCGTTCATTGGGACTAGCCCATATGTAGTGTAGAGGCAAACGAGAGAGTGAGAAGCCACACCCATTGTCGGAGCTGTCAATACAAATATTAGCGAAAAAGAAATACAATATGTAGGAAGGAATCTGAAATGAGCTATAAAATAGGACTTAGTTGTGTTGACGTGAGAAAATCGTTGAAGATCTTCACTGCTGCAAGCTTCTGGCCGACAGTACCAGCTGGTGTGTCAATTCCCGCGCGGCGCTCTGCACACGGCTCGTGATACTTGTATATATGGGGGCACGCCACACGTCGTGCAACTGGTGGTTTCATTTTCCGGAATGACTTCAACATAATGGCCCTCTTTAGCAAAGTGGTAACCTGAAACCTGGAAAAAAAGTTGCAAGCAGCTCTTTTTCGCGGCTCTTCACCAAATTCATCTGAAACTGTGTCAAATTAAAATCACACTTCGGCTGATAGACTTAAGGAGGCGTTAGCTACTGCTTCATTTCGCAGCGTTCTTTGTGATCTTAGTGCGAGCAAAGTCACTCCGCCAAAAGACCCAGCTCCCGTCCCTACCCTATCAATATACGTGCCGACCATCACAGCGTTGGGAGCAACTAAGCTCGGGCTGGTGATAGGGCTACGTATCAGGCTCAAGCGTCTTCCAGGTGGGCTTACTACCTCATTGCAGCCATCAACGGCACGAACGTCTACAGAACAGTGCCTAGCAACGGGTACCATTACTCACTGCTTATTTATTGCTGTATATATAATTGTTTTTACAGCAATTTGGCTTTGCTAGCTAAGGATCTGGCGATACTAATGCTTTTGGAAGGCCTCTCACTCCCTGTGACTTCTTGCAGCAGATCGATGATTTTTTACAAGCTACACACGTAGCTGAAATGCAAATAATTGCTACGTTTGCTGAGCCTAACGATCGCAAACATCCTTGCAAAAGAAATAAGCTCTCTTTGGGCAAAAATGCTCTTCTCGTCGCGAATATTTTTTCGATGGATCGATGCGGGGACTATTTCGTATGGACAGTGCTAGCATATCGGCCCTTGCTCAAGCTGTGTGCCCACATTTGTTATCAGCGAGAGCAGCTCCAGAGGCAATCTTGCCACCGCTCCACCTTGCAGTTCTTGTTTCTCTGTGCACAAGACACTACATTAGATGCCACGGCCGATCGATTTGGTACAGGCCCAGCAATAGTCTCCGGTATCGTGCGGGAAGTGACCCGCATAGTATGCGATGAGATGAAGTTTATAAATAGCATTTTCTATCGTTTCGTCATTGCAGTGAACTGAGGAAAGTCTAACGCTAGATGGCGGGGCCAAAGGAGCCTCCGGGATCTGGGTGCTGATGCAGGATGAGGAGACGGTAAATTGGGGAGTGGAAGTCTGCCCAACTCCTCTCTTGCATGCTCTAGCACCTCATTGATCCTACATGTATTATATATAGATTCAGCTTCAAACTCTTATCATTTACTATTCTTGGCCATTGATAGCGAGCATCAGAGCCAGTGTATCTCCAACATTTTCGGCCTTGGCACTGTGCGCATCTCAGTTTGCAAAGCATTGTCTCCTCCGTCCAGTTACGTTTACAATCTTCAATCAGGGAATGTTGGTCAGGAGCGGTTTCGCTTTCAGGATCGCATGCTTGCCCCGTACCGCTGACCATAACTTTAAAATTTTTGATTTTTATGTGAGGAGCACTATTGAACCTTACAGGTTCCAAGTTTCGGGGACCCAAACGTGCACCTGATACAATGTCATTAATATGGGTTATCTTGGAACACTTTTGCAGGTTTCAGGGGGGAAAATGGTATGCTGAATGCGATTTTTCCTGAAACCTGAAAGAAAGTCGCTAAAAATTCCAGATTTCAAGTTCCAGGCGTTTGCTAAAAACCCTCAATGTGTAATAGATATTTAGTTTTGAAAATTGTTTGCTGTATTACTGAGTAAAGTTGGAGCTAGCATGAATTACTTCTGATTGGGCAAAACGCCATTTTGAATTGTGAGAGGTAAGCTGTTGATTGGCCCCTGCGAATGAAGAGCTTCTAATAGGGTTAGAGAAAATGGAGTTATCCTAGCTGTAAGCTACAATAATAACCCCTCAGTTGTAAAAGGAGACAAATATTCCTCTTTTTTTAGAGCTCAACTATCATTTGTATTTTAAAAAGACACCACCTTTTTTACATGTATTGTGAGGGCACTTTTAAAATGAGACAACCCAAAACAAAATGATACTTATAAACCTACGTACGAGTCGCGATTTAAGCACTCTAAACGAAAGCGGGGCGTCTCCTCTATCTTTTGAGCCCTTATAAGCTGCAGAATGCTTAAAATTGAAGAAGTTGTGGTCGCTCAAAAATATTATCTTCATTTATGGGCCCTCGAAATGACGATACATTTTGGAGTGTTGTGAGCTCAATATTTTTTTCAATTTTAGAGATTTAAGTGTTATTTAAAAGCCCCTGCTAAAAGCAATTAAATAAGGGTAGTTTTTTCAGTTTTTTCGATGGAAGTTTACAATAAATGTCACTGTTTTTTTGGTTAAGTGCGAAAATCAATTGGCCAACTTTAAGCTCGATTATCTTGATAACTCTAAATGGCTCGTAAGTATCATTTTTTTGACGTTGTCTCAAATAGAGCCTGTCACACAAAAATATGCTCTCTGCTCTCATTGGGTGCCTTCCAAAACTGACATAGAAATTTTTTGTCACCCTACCCCTAGTCATTAAACCAGTCATTAAACACGGTGATTAAAACCGAATTGTTTGATGAGACCAAAAAGTAATCTCATCAAACAATTCATTGAACTGGATTTAATACCCTTTAATCGCCACCCTTAAGCAGCAACCACACAAAACAGTATCTTCATTCTTGTATGGTACTAAAGGAGCCCCTAATTTAGAGATTTGTTTAAATTGAAGTGTGCCAATATCTTCGAGGGCCGCTGGGCGCGAAACTGCGCCGTTCGCTAGCGCGAAGCTTTCAGTTCTCAAATTGCAGTCTCCAGCTCAAGCCTCCCCCTCACTTCCTCATCTATACATTTAATACGTCTTGAAGCAATACACCTGCGTATGAATCTGGTCTGTCTGGTGTTATAATGAGCTTGTGTATAGATCCGTGATGTCTTCCAAACGCCGAAGCGCCAACTCATCAATACTCGCGCAGCCATCGCCCGACCGCCCTGCCAAGAAGCTCAAGACAGTCGTGAGTTCATACTGCAAGCTTCGGCTGCATGCACCTACAACAGTAGGTGCCAGTAGTGGTGATTCGACGAATTCTTCAATGACCAAGAGCAAATCGCTCTCCTTATTGAAGCCGTCCGATGGAGTGGCGACACTACCGTGGATGCGCTCTGGTAGAGCGTTCACTCACCCTCTTGTTAACGAGGGTGAGACGATGCAAACAGCTCCGTTGGCTGACTTTCATCTTTCGCAGTCTTCTGAGGCCGATTCGCTGTCACCTCGCAAGACCCAGTTGGAACACGGGGCTCAAATGAAGGCGGGGAGGTCAACACCACCTACGTCGCCAGCTTCGACTCTCGCTAGCATGGGTTCACCGCTCCTTACTAGCTCACAAGAGACTGCTGATGCTCCCTGGTCTCCAAGAACGTGTACGCCGCGTCCGGTACCTGTCAGCTCGCGTCCCGACGTCCCCAAATGGTTCTCGGAGTGTTTTGAGTCGGACGGCTACAACACAGACGAATTGATCTTGATTGGCCCTCCTCCGCCTTCACAGCGACGACGTACTTCAATACTTTCGCAGAGTAGCTCACCGGGGTTCTCTGTTATCGTACAATCTGCTGGTGTGGCTCTTAACTCCGAGTGGTTAGATGTTGACTGGCCTCCTGAAGTCACGCGTTTGAACGTCCAGTCTAATCCTCTGGGTTTGAAGTTTCCTACGTTGAGTACAGGGATTCGTGGTGACCAAGGGTGTGGCTGCGAGGTGCGTTGTACAGCAAGTACCTGCTTAAACGCAAAGCGTAGTCGGTTTTGTACTGCAAGGAACTGTTCGTTTGTCGGAGTGTGCGGGAATGCACCTCAAGAGAAAGACTCGCTAGCTATACGCCAGAACACCAGAACACGGATGCGTGGTGTTGTTGCAACAGCTCCTATTCCAGCCGGAGAAGTCGTCGGTGAATATTTTGGTGTCTTGGAGCTGTTTGGTCCCCCATCCAAGCCTCGCCAAGCCACCAACGGCTACCGAATGTTCTTAAAGACAAGAACAAAGAGCAACAAGTACGTGGGTATCGACTCTTTGCACGCAGGAGGCTTAATGCGTCTCGTCAATCACTCCTGCAATCCATGCGCAGGTTTCCACGAGGTTCAGACGGGTGACCACCTTACGGTGGTCGTGGTCACCGTTCTTGACGTTTTCTCAGGAGAAGAGCTGACAGTTTCGTACGGAAGCAAGTTGTGGGCTCTCTGTCGTTGTGGCTGGTGGGGGTGCCAGCACAGAGACTTACAGCACCTCCCTGATGGACCGGACATCCTTCAAACCTGATCTTCGTTTGCTGCAAGTGTATTGCCAGCCTCTAGCGGACGGTAGTGCTGGTGCTCTTGTGCGTCTTCACATTCTATAGCAGTTGTGTAGTAATTGTGTATAGCGATCTTCTTTCAAATGTCACGAGTTGCAGTATTCAATACATATTTCAAGATATTTGATCCATTCACTTCGTTTTAGGGAGTCAGTCTACCGTTCATTTTACAAAGACATAATGAGAAGTTAGTGCGCTTCTGCACAACGCACTAGAAGGCACAACAACATGGTCGGGGTATATATCAACATGTAACGTAGCTGACCTCATACTTACACTAGTGTCGTGCTTATTTCGTACAGAGAGGTCGACGACCAGGCTTCGCAAATTACAGCGTTCAGGAGCAAATGCTGCTCTGCACCGTGGTCAGTAAGTATAAGCCATCAGGGAGAAACATGTGGGAGTCAGTCGCCGTCGAATACAGCTCGCTGCGCGCGAGATCGTGGAGTGAACGAGATTATGACTCCCTACGACAGAAGTTTAGAACCCTCTACGGTAAACCCAAGCCGACCGGCAGCCAGGGCGAGGAGGTCCCGCTGCGCCACCGTCCAGTATTGATGGCGCATGAGATCCAGGCGGCTATTGAGCTCAAGGGGGGTGCGCATACATCCCACGACGGCTGTGACCGCGGAGAAGACGACGAACAACTTCTTAAAGACGTCGATGCGGCGACTTTAGCTGCGCGAGGGTTCAACGAGGACGAGGAGGACGTTGACATCGAATCTGACGAGATGAACAGCGAGACGGCGCCTAATCGAGACGTCGCGGAGGATGTGGGGAACCCCACAGGTGAACACCAGTCACCATCTCGCGAAGAGGATAGTCAAGAAGATCTTAGCATCTCTACAGCAATGGGGACGGTCATCACAAGTCGCGGCACATTTGATATGTCATTGGCAAATGACGTGTGGTCGGACGAGAACGACGAAGACCCCGACAGTAGTGAGGAGACCCGCACTCTTGACCAGGACGCGAGTGCTGGTTTGCACACACCCAACGTGCCGCGTACATCTACCTCTCGTGCTGTAGGACGGCCAAAAGATAATCGAGGAGCTCAGTGCAGCCAAATCTCACCGCGGGATCCACCGTATCTCACTCGAGACCCAAATTAAGCAGCGCAGGACGCAGCGGAGGCTCGAACCAAAAAAAACTTCGAGTAATCGACTTGGTGGTGCTGACTTGCGCATACTGAGAGATAACATTGAAGAGCTTGGTGGCTCCACGCCAAAAGCAAAGGGTACACGAAACTCGACTGATAGCTCGTCTCAAAGCGGGACATACACGGCAAACAAGAGGATCCGCGCAAAGAAACGCATGCAGCTATTAGAGAAGGAGCTCCAAGACATAGAAGCCAAGCAATCCCTAGGCGGCAATGAGATGATAGGGCTCTTGATGTTTATGCGTGAAGAGTCGAATCGCCGAGCGGGTCTTGAAGACAAACACAGACGAGAAGACAGAGAGGAGCGCTTAGCTGTCGAAAAAGCAGAGCGCGAGGAGCGCGAGAGGATTTGACGCGATGAAGCCAACGCTCAGGAACAGAGACGTCTCCAAGACCTGAACGAAAGTCGCACTCGTCACGACCAAAGACTTGCACAAGACCGTGAAGAAGCGCGCCAACGCCATGAGCAAACTATACTACTAATTCCTTCGCTACATCGAGGCAAGAAGAACGGTGACTGATAGCGGCAGCGTAGAATTTATTATCTTCTGTAGTCATCTTCATGACCGTGAAAATGCGTGGTTCTAATCTGGCTGATACCCACAGTTCTTACCCGATAATTTGACAACCTGAACATTTTATCAAGCCTCTGTTTCCGTTTGTTCTTATCGTACGGCAAAGGTAAAAGTAGCCGATGATAAACCTTTTCGATTACTCCCATACCCCACTCCGCTGGCTGGCGCACGAAAGTTATAGCTGCGGACATGATATTTGCAACTCTGCGGACAGACGGCACAAGTCTTCCGATATCACCTTCCTTAAGTGGTGTCAAAATCCTCCCTGTCATATCGGCTCCACAAGGAAAAGCACTATCTGCGACCACCCCGTAGCGAGTGTCAGGGTTTAATGACGGATCTGATAACAGTCGGCGGAAGCCAAGACTAGTATCTCCATCATTCCAGGAACCTGGGCAGTTGTGTTTAGCCCAAACGATAAGTCCATCAGCGCTAAAGCACAGCGTCCCAGTGACGTATACCTGATGCAGCCATCCGTTATAATGGGCATTTTGCACATCAGGATGCGGCGTTTCCTGAATCTATAAGTAGCAGACAACATCAGCATTATCAATAGAGAAAATCTCATAATAGAACTTCGAGTTACCCACGTACGCGATAGATTTTCCCATCCAGAAATCCCCATGTGTATTGCAACAATGGTTGTCGAAGTGCTACCAATTTAGCAAGAGCCTTTTGTCTTTCGAAGGTAGGCCATACAATTCGTGCTGAAGTAAAGCCTCGTAAAGCAGTAGTCAATGCATCCTCTGCGGCGTTCAATACACGTGTTAACGTCGATGGCGGCACACCAAACGCTTTGCAAAGTGTAGACCGTCCCATGGAGCCAGCGTAAAATGCCAGGAGTAGCGCTAAGAGTTGGTGATGGCTGCGTAGTTTCTGAGGTCGTCCACCTTGACGACGATAAGTTGGTATAAGGTAGTGGGGCCGGAAGCGCTCTAGCAACACACAAAAAGAGCTTCTACATCCTTGTTAAGTTGCTAGCTGACTAATAATAACAGAGACGCCGCGTACCTAGAAAGACTTGTAGTCGTAATAAAATTCTTGTTTGTACCGTGAAGCCACGTCTCCATCCACGAGGAATCTTCGGGTTCCTTTAAGCAGTCTATCGTCACATAGGGACGGGTTCGTACCAGTCGCTGCCACTCCGCTCGAAGCATCTCGTCGTGAACTCGGCGCCGAAGATCTTTAACCGTCGCTGCAGCTCTTTGACGTGTTTAGAGGAGGCCCAAACCACGAGAACGACGCTTTCCTCCAACATGCACGTTTTCTAGATACTAACGATCGTTCAAGATCACAAATGGCGCGCAGAGCCCAGCGCATTGTTGCTAGGAAGGGGTCGTGATGCTTTTTCGCGCCTTCGAAGATCTTGATCTATAGAAAATTTATTTACAATATTGTCCGGCTTTGACCTGTCCCGTTCTAGAATAATACTGAGCACAAGATACTTGAACCGGTTGTGACACAAACAGCTGGACACAAAATATGGTTTGACACGGTTTTGGATGCGGTTTTTTTATGCTAGAAGATCGTCGTTTTTTTATCACCGAAGTAAGGAGCACAGACGAGTGATAAAAAGTTTTCGATAAAACTGATTTATGTCAGTTTTGGAAGGCACCCATTGGTCCAAAACTTAAAGTGGCTAGTCTCCAATGGAGGCATCGACATACCCCACCGTCATGATTAGCAGCGAGTCAAGTGACGAGGAGCTCGCCACGCTGCACCAAGCAGCCGTGGCGGCCGTCAAGCCTGTGCGCAAGGTCAAAGTCAAGAAAGCCAACAAAGTTGCAGCTGAACCATCAATTGACGCCACCGCCGATAGTACGGGAAAGAAACGCCCCTTGGACGACTCGACTGACCCAGAGGAGGCCCAGAGACTCAAGCGCGAGGCCCGTAAGAAGCGCAAAGCTGAGGAGAAAGCAGCCCGTCAAGTAGCAGAGAAGAAGCAGCAACAGGATCAATTGGACAATGAGCGAGCAGCCAAAGGACGCGCGTACACTTTGAGCATGGCCATCCCTGGTTCCATCCTGGACAATGCTCAGACCAAGGAGCTGAAAACGTATTTAGCCGGTCAAGTAGCTCGTGCCGCCGTGATCTTCCAAGTGGACGAGATCGTCGTATTCGACGATCAATTGGGCAATAATGTGAGCACTGGCGCTCCGAAGAAGCGTACGCACGACTGCCACGTCTTCATGGCCAGAATTCTGCAGTACCTCGAGACTCCGCAATATTTACGCCGTGCATTGTTCCCCATGCACACGGATCTCAGCTGTGCCGGCCTGTTGAACCCTTTGGATTGCCCGCACCACTTGCGAGCTCAGGAGTGGAGCGTGTACCGTGAAGGTGTGGTGACGGATAGACCGCTGAAGGACAAGGAAGGGTCACACGTGTACGTCGGTCTGCAGCGAGAAGTGGTGGTGGACAAGCGCATCCAGCCTGGTATTCGTGTCACGGTGAAGATTGACGAGGCATCCAAAGACTTTAAGAAGAAGAGTAAGTGCTGCGTGTTGCAACATTTCCAGCTCATTGACTAACATTTGTTGACTTCGTTTTGTAGTGGTGGGCAAGCTCGTGTCTTCGGCTGAACCTCGTGAGCAGCTTGGCGTGTATTGGGGCTACACGACTCGGGTCGCGTCTTCCTTAAGCAACGTGTGGACGGACTGTCCGTTCGCTGGCGGCTACGACCTCAAGGTGGGTACATCCGAGCGTGGCAACGTGTCTGTCGATGACGCCGACTTCTCACTCCCCAAGTTCCGACACGCACTTGTCGTGTTCGGTGGCGTTGCCGGTATCGAGGAATGCGTTGACGCCGACGAGAAGGTTCCAGTAAGTGGCGAAGACTCGAACACGCTCTTCGACATGTGGGTCAACACTTGCCCTGAACAAGGCAGTCGCACCATTCGTTCCGAGGAAGCTCTACTCGTGTCCCTCGCAGCTCTGCGGCCTCATGTCAAGCGTAGTGGACGAGCGCTATAGACGGCAATGTGTGATCGATTAGCACGAATAAATACAAGCACATAGCACCCCAAACACACTAACTAGAGCCAGACGCAGGGCGCTTGGTGGACGGACACTTCTTGTAGCAGTGGAACTTGCGTGTGCAGCGAGTCGTCCGGTTCTTGCCACAGCAGCACAATTCCTTGCACACTGGACAGCCGTTCTCAAAGATTCGGTCTCCATGTTCCTCGATCATCTTCTCGGCGCACTTGGCACAGAAAATATGAGGACAGACCGGACACCGCACGTTCTTCTTGCGCAAGTTGCCACAGCGATGACACGAAGCACGATGACGCATCAACATGTCGACGTAGTTGCCATTACTGTCCACACGAGGTTGTTGGAAACTCGAAGTTGCCATGGGAGCACCTAACTGTCCAGAAGCACCGAGCGCAGTGAGTCCCTCGAGACCAGCAGCCTCCATGTATCCTTCATTGCCTCCCATTCCAGACATGTATCCGTAGTCTGAACCACCATATCCTGGCAAATTCTGGTTAGGCGAATGCTGCTGGAAACTTGGATCACTGCTCGAGTATGGCTGGTTCTGCGTCGAGATAACCAAGTGATCCTGTGGATGATGCTGATGTGAGGGATCATAGCTGGACCACATTGTCTCCATCGGTGAGCTACTGTCGAAACCTGAGCTAGTCGCCCCCCACGGGGATCCATTCATGGCGTCCGGAACTGAGGCGGCCGAGTAGATGTAAGTCGCTTCATGTGGCGATATTGGGGGCAGTTTACTGTCCGTTCCCAGCCCCGACGTCGGTTGCAAGTCATCGAGACTGTGAGTCGGCAGACAAGTGGCAGCAAGCGCCTGTTTCAGTCGACCTACGATGGCTTGAGCCTCTCGCTGAGAGCTGGGAGTCCACGTGATACCATTGACTGACTTGAGCGAGGCTGGTAGCGCGCTCCACTCTCTCAGACGAGGTAACGCGCGCTGCAACGCACGTCGATCCACGTCGTTCACTTGAGCGTTCATGCCATTGTTGATCATCAAAAGCTGACGAACATAGTAACACACAGCCGTCCACAGCTGCACATTGGCATCCACCATGAGCCAACCCGAAGTGCACTCGCTCTCATACTGCGCCAATGCATCGTGCTGCAACTCGAGCAACACAACTCCCAGTTGCGCCTCCATCGCTGTGGTGCATGCAAAGAATCCGAGAAACAGCGAGCAGCTCTGCACGCCACCAGCAAAGCGTGCAAACATCCAGCCAGCTGGGACCAGCAGTGTGCTGCCTGCACTCACCGCACACTTAATGCACTTGTCCACTCGCTCGAACAGGAACGCAGAGGCAGAGTTGGGATCACTTTTCCACTCTCGATACGCATCAAAACTGGCCGAACTCGGTGGGATCATGTACACGCACAATTCACCTGCAGAAACCGATAACCAAGTGCATTGGCCGCCAGGAGCCAGCGTGAAATCCAGATACGCATTTGCCTCGAGGAATGCACCAAACACGTTGCTGTTGACTGCATTTCCACTCGAGCTCTTGTCGTTGTTGGAAATTATCAAGTTGATCCAATCCACTTGCGTTACGGCAACTGGCGGTGCAACTTTCAGTTGCATGGCCGTTTGTTGCACCCGAAACTCAGCATTTGCCAGTAGAGCAATGTGCTCTTCGTCTTGCTGGTTGGAACTAGTTGCCCTTGCCTCCCACGCTGCTGCAGTCAGCTCTTTCCTCGTCTGGGAGGCCACGTCAGTCGTGCGCACCACTCGGTTGCCTGTCAATAAGTCGGCAATAAAAGTTGCGTCGAGCACCGGGAAAGGCTCGTCGAGGCCAGCCGCTCGGTGGCTGTTGCCTGCAATAAGTACAGGCTCCTTTAGAGCGTTGCGCTGTAGAAAAAAAGGCCGAACGTCTTGACATGACACCAAGTGCACCCCAGATCGAGCGTAAATGGCTGCACCGAGTAGACGTCGGAAACCGGGTGAGTGTTTCTTGTGTCTGAGCTGCACCGGAGGAGAAGAAGAAGCATAGCCACCTAAGTGCACGGGTAATGGCGAAAAAGTCACGGTGTCGGCATCAAACGGTCCGTTATTGAGAGGCTCTGAGCAACATCCAGGGCAATGACATTAGCAATAACAAAACGCTAAAAATAGTTATTGTTGCAATCGGGAGCGCACGTACCGTACTTGACACCTTCGTGGCCGTGTTGCTGGCACTCGACACAGGCAAACTTGGCGACGAGAAGCGCGTCCTGTTCGGTCAACTGGGCGCAAGTGCCGTGCAGCCAGTGGCCACAAAAGTGGCACTCGATGAGGAAGGCAGGCGCGCGCGGGTCCACGTCGTGGCCGCACACGACGCAGAGCATTGCATTGTTTTGCGCTAACGGGGGCGGAAGCATTTGCGCGCAAGATGGCAGATTGCTGAGTGGGCGGAGAAATGTAGCTTAACTCTATAACCCAGAGTGGTGCAGTGAAAGTGCTGGGCTGTCTGTCGAGGGGAGGGGCCAGAGACGGCGATAGTGTGTTACAGGCCGATAACGACCACGAAGCGATGATGGCACGCCGAATACAGGTGGTGGTGTGTCTCGCCGCCTTTGCCTGCTCCTGCATTTGCAGTGCCGTTCGGCCCGAACTTCGGGACAGACGGATGTGTGTATTTTGGTGCTGGTGATGGCAACTTGTCAGAGGCATTTGCGCTGAAGCTTTGCTTGCATTGCAAATGCTCTTGCCGATGCATTTCAATAGCGGCGATACAGAAGGGTAAAGAGGGGACGGAAACGAAGCTGGGCTAGGGGATAAATGGGTCCTATATTCAAATCGGTGGAGACAAGTTTCTTGGACAACAATTCTTAAAAAGCGTGCGGACAACGGCGAGAAGCAATTTATAAGGAGCACTATTGCTACCCTTGTACTAGTGGTGGCCTAAGATAATGTTAGTAAAGTTGCAGCTGGCAAACCGCTGCGAGCAAGGTGCCGACTTGCTTTCTTTCGAGTCACTGCAGTCTGTATCAGTCGCTGCTGGGACACTTGACATAGGGTTTCGCTGATCGATGCTATTTACTGTACCGTCACCGATTGCTGCAAGATGCAAGGGTTAAGCCACTGGGAGAGAGAAAGAAACATCACGCTCGACTCGCGGAAGCTCCAGCATAAAGGCTGCTGCACCAACACTCTTGGTGTGGCGTCAAAACCAGTTTGGGTGCAGTCGCCAGTGATTTTAGGTGCGACTCTGCTTTGTGGCTGTTTGGCTGACATATTGGTCTTTTAGGCAACAGTGTTGGGTGCTGTACTACAACTTGTAGATCGCCAAGCAGCGCTTTCGGTGGCTGACTGCGCTCTACTTTATCGCCACAACGTGTTACCATATCCGCGCAGTGATACTGTAGAGCAATTCCTGGCACAAGTACGTAGCGCCACCTTCGATTGAGTCATGTGTGTTCGACGGGCCGTCACTTCCACATTGGAGAAAACACTTGAGCAGCTCGGTAATGGAAAGAGGGCGGACCACCAAATTCGTTCTTGGTGACTTCAATTCAGCTGTCGATAACTCCAGATGATCTTAATCGCTAAAAAAACTGTAGGCAACTTGTTTCGGATGTCAGTAACTTATTTAAACTTGCTTGGAGATTTATTACTTTTTGAAGATAAATTTCGTAATTATTCAATGCATGGATAGCTGCCAAATACATACAAGGAGCAAATTTAAATTTCACGGTGGACGAAGAATCCGGATACCAACTCTGACTCTTACATGCATCGCAGAGCTGCATTTCTGGCAGCAAAACGAACTCTCTGGGTTTTGCCAGGATCCTTTAATCAATTTTGGTCTTATTATTTCATTTGTGCTCTGCATACCTATATCAATGGCTGCAGCCATATCAGTCAGGCCTCTTGTGTAGACCCTACAAAGGAAGTGTAATAGGACGGCGGTACAAGAGTGCGACGGACACTTGGGCATCACAGCGACAGAGGGCGGCGAGCAGATACAATATCTTCAGCCATGTGGTGGTCATGAAGAAGGAGTGACGAGGAGAAACGTCGGAGACACCGTGGAGGAGGGCCTGCTGGACGAGGTTGAAGTTGGAGATCATGGTACCCAAACGAGTGGTACATACTGATGCGTGCGTGCGGTGGTGAAGGAGTAGAGTAGCCGTTCGAGTGAGATCTCAGTGCGAAGGGCGTCGTGAGCAGTCGGCGCAGCCGCGAGAGTGGCAGTTGGGCGTGGAGGAGGAGAGAGACTGGATGGGTGGGCGTGATGAGCGGCGCGTGCGCCAGGATCCGTGGAAGAAGGACGGTGAGCAGTCGCCGGAGATCCCGAAAGCGCCGACAAGCGAAGGCAGTTGAGAATTTGCGCTGAAGGGCACACCCGCGAACGAGTAAGTGTGGGGTGACTAAGAGTGCTGCGTAAAGTGAGGTTGAAGGCCTGTGGTGACGAACAGGCGAGTGACGAAAGGCGAACGAGGTGAGGTGGCTAAGGTCGGAGAGGCGATCTAGGTCACAGAGCGCAAGTCGGTGGCGGTGGCATACAGAGGAGTGCACAACGGAGTGAGAGAAGTGTCTGCGAAAGCGGAGCAATTGGACCGACGGTGTGAGAGAAGTCTCTGCGAAAGCGGAGCATTTGGACGGAAAGGACAGCTCGTGCAGTAGCCGTAGTCCTCAGTGTAGGATCTACGCAGTAAGTCGCGGGTTCCGAGGAAGTCTGCGCGGTAACCGTAGTGTTTCTAGGGGGCGCTACGCAGTAAGCCGCAGAACTCGGCAGTGGTCAGTGTGTGTGTGTCAGCGACTACGGACGCGTGGTTGGTTGACGATTTGGAACGGTTGAGAGAGAGAGAGAGAGAGAGAGAGTATTAATAAATAGGAGTGGACACACTCCGGCTACTTTGTGAGTGGCCCACACGGTGTTGAAGTTTCGTGTGGCAAGTGAGCAGAGTAACAAAAAGTAGCGCAGCAATGTGGAGCTGTACGACCCGCAGGCGAGCAGGCGTCCCCAGACTCGTTACAGAAGAAATGGCCGCCGAAATTGGCCATTCGGGCTTTTAGCGCAGCACTGTGGGGCTGTACGAATTGCAGGCGAGCAGGCGTCCGCAGACTCGTTACATGGTGGTCATACAGGGGCCTTCTGAGAAAAGCTCGGCGCATCAGGAAGATCACGAAGTAGAACGCGAGACGATGATCACGAGAAGCAGTGGCAAGCAACGGCTTTGGAGGTCCAAGTCGCCCAAAGATGATGAAACTTCCACTGATGAATCGGGTAGCGAGGCAGTACCCCAGCGAATGGAGACGAGCGACAACGATTCCCATGATGGAAGGAGCCCACTACTGTCCGCAGGGAGTCCTCAACAGAGCCGGCAGCCCAACCAGAAAACGTGCCAATGGCGAAGGACGCAGAGATGGCTGTAGTGTCGTCTGCCATACGTCACTTAGCAACCATAGTGGCAGGCTTGCAACCAGTCGCATCAGAGAATACGGGCGAGGAGAGTCCAGGATTACACGACCACGCGAAGACCGCGTCGGCGGACGAGAGTAGTGGTCAGGCGAACGATACGGCCGAAGAGCCAGAGCAACCGATCTCAGCACGAACGCGAAGGGCTTCGGGAGCACGACAAACCTTAGTGGCGCCACGGACGAAAAAGAAGGTTGCAGTAGCTGGTAGAGGCGTGGCACGGACTGGAGAAGTATCGGAGGTAACTTCCGCGTTGCAGCAGCTCACGGACAAGATAGCAGAACTTCAACAGAACGCGAGGGATGGACCGGTCAAGAAGCCACAAGTCAGGACGATTCGTGTGGGCATGCGGCCGGCTCATCGGAGTGATCCATACCACGGAGGAGTGCGTCAGGTACGACGGCCAGAACGAAGACGGAGTGGAGCCAGGGCTGGATCAACGCCACCCAGCGGGAGTAGCTCCAGTAGCTCCAGTGAGTCGTCCAGCAGTGAAGCATCGAGCGGAGACCAGCATCACGACCATGGGCATAGTTCCGGCGATGACAGCGAGAGTAGTGCCGGAAACCCCAGCACGGAAGAGAGTGATGAATCAAACAGTAGCAGCCCCAGTAGTGCGTCGAGTAGCGAGAATAGTGCGCGACCACCGCGGCATCAGCGAACGCGGCGACGCAATCGCGTGAAATCCCAAAGGTCCCGCGAGCGATCACGTCGAGAACCTCGTAGGCGCAGTGTGAAGGATCTTGAACTGCCAACTTTTACCCCCTCGCCTAAAGTGTCTGTATCCACCTGGATCGACCGCGTAGACTTGGCGTTGAGAGGTGCGAAGGAGTCAGGCCGCGGGGAATGGTCAGATGAATCCCTATACTTCATCTTGGGGAACAAATTGCTGGAGAATGCGGCACGATGGTGGGTCAACATGAATCAGGAGCTGCCACGCAGGAAGCGAACGTGGACGAATCTGAAGCAGTCTTTACTACGTCGCTACGGGGAGAAACTTGACAAATCCGCCGCAGAGTGGCGCGTATCCATGCGAAGAATGATGCCGGGAGAAACCTACGCAGATTTCGCCGCGGGATTACGAGATGTGGTGGGTCGCAACAGAGTAAGTGAACGAGTCTTGCTGGCTCAATTCTGTAGGTGCCTGGATAAGACCACGAAGAAACTGGTCAACCAAGCGCCTGAGCCCAAAACCCTGGAAGAGGCCGCGGACAAAGCCACAGAAATAGACGACCCTATGGACAACGTAGCCCAGGGCATGTTGAATATAATCCAACCATGGGCCACGGCACCAAGCCCTTACCTGGTACCCATGACCGGAACTACTGGGCAAACACTAGTCATCCCGGGGATCGGCGGTACGGAGTTGACTCCTGAGCTGGCTTCGGCCAATCCAAATAGTAAGTCGTTGGTGGAGCACGAATCGGATGGTATCGCGCTCTTCACTAATCCACAAGGCGTGTGAAATGTCTATTCCGCTACGTGGGATGTGCCTCCCGGACGAGTGTGGAACGGTAGGTTCTACGAAGAAGAGCTCGGTGAATCGACCATCCGGTAAACGACCGGATAATAAGAAATCCGAGGCAAAGTAAAAGTCGAAGAGGGAGTTGGTGGAATCTAGTGGGGAAGAGTCGGAGCCCCAGATGAAACGACCAAGGTACAAAGCCGCAGTACGACAAGCATCTGAGCGGGAGGAATTAACTTTAGCAATCCAAAATGGAAAAATAAGTAGGTGCGTTTTTCAAAAATAAGTAGATTGACACCAAAAATATAATGCATCATTGCTAAAACCAAATAACCAAATTTAGAATGACCGTTTAAAATTTAAGAACATATATCAAAGTCTTAAAAGTAATATCGTACGATTCGCACAAGGCCACACAAGCCCAATCGTACGATCATACTTATTATTGCTACTGTTGGTACTACCTAGTATTTCCAGTGGAGCTCACACCCAGGAAACATTGTCCACTTGATCGAGCTAAAAGAAGACATGACCGTTCTACAGCCAGTCCGTTTCGCAACTTCTCCTGGCTAATCAGTTTTTAAACCCCATCGCCTTGCCAGGACGAGGTGCTCACGACCCTTCATTAATCATTTTTTTAGGTCTCGCAAAGACTGATTACGTGCACTGTTAGCCAACCCAAAATGTCGGAGACTGCAAACGTGTCACCATTATCTGCAAGAGACCAGCTAACGTCATGTAACACAAGGAGTCGAGACGATACACCTGCACCGTTGAATGTGACTGTACCTAGCACCACTACTCCCGAGAAATCGAGTGCATCAAAGTCGAAGAGCAGCACACCTGATCGTCACGAATCGTTGCGCGTTAGTTGTGTTGAGCTGGAGGATGTTTCAATTCTCCGAAACCTGGGGTTACTACGAAGTGACTTGAACGTGGGTCTGGAACGAAACGACCTTGAGACGTATGGATCCGTTGTCGATCGAGGGAATAACGTTGCACCAGAGTCATTTGGAACGAAAGCGGTACTGCTACAACGATGTCGAGAGTTTGCTAGTCAAGCTGGGTTTATCATTCGTGTCGCGACAAATAGCTTTCGCCAGATGAAGGAGGAGGGTAATGCCAGATATGAGTGCAAAGTGTTAAAAGGTCAGCAGCAACTGACGCCTGGCACAACTCCCTCTTGTCCATTTTTCATCACGGTGTATGGAATTCGAGACGAATGGAAAGTTACCAAGATGTGTATAGCTCACCACCACTACCGCCACGTTGGTTTTCAAGGGGATTCATTCGTGGAAGGTGATCTAGCAACATCAGGTCTGCGTCAGCACAATAGTGATATGTCTTTCGCGACAATCCGCGGAATTGTTGAGCGCGAAATGCTTCCGGCCTACAGCGACGACTGGGCATCCGTGAAGGGTAAAGCTATTCTCGAATTCCTTCTCAGCAAAAACATTGAATCAAATCGTCAGACCGCTTCCCGGATCAAGCGTCAGCTGACGGATGTATTACAAGGAAATATGGAAGAAAGTTTTCAGAAATTGGAGTCATATCTGTCTGTTGTGGCGACAGAGAATCCTGGTTCACACTATGGCTTTGAAAAACATTCAAACGGCGTTTTCAAACGAGCGTGTTTTTTTCCGAGTTCCTGTTTGAAGGCATTGCAGACATGTCGTCGTATCATTGGTCTGGATGGAACTCACCTTAAAAAGGAAATGAACAAGCGAGGTGTGTTTCTCCTAGCTACGGCTAAAGACTTACTTAATTGTTTTCGGGCTGGGATTGGTCGACCAAGAGGATGGTCTGAACTGGCGCTGGTTTGTACAGCACATGAAATAAGCCATCGGTGCATCTGGTGGAGAGCCCTGGAAACCTGCATTCCTATCGGACCGACAGAAGGGTCTGTTGTCCGCAGTTTCCGAATTGTATCCTGGTTGTGGTCATCGCGTATGCGTTCGTCATATCATTACGAACGTGAAAAAAAAAACCTCCTCGCTGGCGCCTGGCGAGAGAGCCTTGATTTTTCAGATGGCACGCAGTGAATGCGAGAAAGATTACGATTTCTACAGCTCAAAGCTGGCTGATACACGCCCTCAAGCAGCCGAGTATCTGAGTAAGATCATGAAAGAACACTGGGTCACGTATGCATTCAGCGAAAAGTACGAGCAACCGACGTATGACGAGGTTACCTCCAATTTATCGGATTCGGCTAACCAGTGGCTTGGAAATGCTTGTCGGTCTGCATACCCAATGAACGCGCTCGAGCAATACTTCGTGAAAGTCGTAGAGCTCTTCGCATCTCGCCGCAAAGAAACTACTCGTTTAATCAAGAATGTCGGTGAACTTCAACACTCAAATACCGATGGGGCTTGTGCAGAGGATGGTGAGACCGATGCTAGCTCTTCAATATCTTACGAGCAGCTGGCACCATTCCACAAGGACAACCTGAAAAAGATGCTTGCCGTTTCAAAAAGTCTTAAGATTCTTCCCTGTTTGAGCGGCCACTATATGGTGCGCTTTACGGACGTCAGCCAGAGATTGGATCACGTTCACTTGTGGCGAACGGTAAACTTGGTTGAGAAGGCGTGCACATGTAGACGGTGGCAAGACACAAAATTCCCATGCATTCACGCCTTAAAAGCGGCCGTGTATCATGGCATGCACATTACTGAATTGATTGACTGGGACAACCACACATCTGTGACCTATCGCTCAACGTATTTTCACCAATTCGTTCCGGGCGTGAGTTCAAGCAGAATTGTACGAGACGATCATCTCTTCGTTCCAGCAGTTAATGTGCCACCAGAGGAACTGGGCAAGCGAGGACGAAAACCGGGGCCTCCGTCGAAGCACAAACGCAAATCACACAGACCGGGATCCGCAGTAACACCTACAGCTGCAATGACACAGTAGGTCTCGAGCGCCGTACCCAAAGAGATACTAAAGGCTAAACTGTGCGACTCGTACGGCTGAGACTTTTGGTCGAAATCGTACGATTAATAACCGAGCAAGATCGTACGACCTATATTTTTTTCGAAACCCAAAAATATAAACCTGATTGATTAATTTTCATAATCTATGTATTGTATGTCTATTCAGTTAATATATTTGGTGCTTTCAGAT